TATAAAGTGGCTTCTCTCTTAAGAATGAATAAACTATATAAAGCATGTAGTAAGGTATGTTGAATTCATGCCTTTGTAAAAGTTGTAGTCAAATTAATCTTAAAGTACAAGTCATTTGTATGATTAAAAAAAAAAACCACAGAATTAAATGTAGTACTTCTAGAACTATCAAATTTAGGCAGGAAAATATTGATTCTTGTTTTAGTTTTTTAAACTGACCACTAAAATTGAATTCATTTGAGTCCAAATTCTAAAGCTTTTAGTTATTTTTCTTCATAATTGTTGTTATATTTATGCAAGCGAAATGTTATTTGATAAAAATACTGCATTTGATCCCAATTTCTACATGATTTCTACATGACTAATAATTTATAAAAAAATTAAAACAATATCCTTAAGCTTTGTAATTTTTGATGTGGATGGAAAAACCCCTATTTAAAGGCTTAAAATGGTGTTTGACTTTTTAAGTAGAAATGAAACTCCTATACTGATTCTCTCTTTAGATCCATTTGCAACATTTCAACTACTGTATTTTTTTCTGCATTGTTTCTAGTTTATTAACCTTGCAAGAACTCTTCAGGCACATATGGAAGATCTCGAAAGTAGGTGGAATTTCCCCTCCCCAGACTCGTTGAATTTACTTTTGCAAATTAAACCCACAGAGCAAAACATAAGTATATACTGTCAAATTAGAGCTTCATTTATAGGCTTAATAATACCATTGATTTGGGAAAGATCGGCTGGGCAACTGACATCAGTTTTTTAAAAACATTAAAAAAAAATAGTATTAATTTTAAGGTACAGAAGGATCTACTTTTAACCATTAGTATATTTTATTTTAAATAAAATTTTGTTCTTGATCACTTTAATTTCGCACTCAAAAAGACATGTTTGGCTACTAATCAAACCACACTTTTTAATCTGTTAGATTTTTGTGTGTGTGGATGAAATTTTACTTATTATTCAGCTTTGTTAGATGATAAAGTTTTTCCTGGGCTTATGTATAATTCTTGGAAAATAGGGGTTAAAAGAGCCTTAATTCTGAGTCCATAACAGAAGCCATAGTGGTGGATTGATTTCTTTTTTCATTTAGTGGTTCTTTTTGCTCCTTTTCCAGGTCCTCATGGACCTTTAATAGGCAGCCAGATCCAGTCTTTTAAGATCACGTTCCAGCGTTAGGACCTCTGCCTGGGCTCCTATATGAAGGCATTTATTGCCCAAATCTTTACAGGCATCTGTACAACTTAACCCTCAAGTCCTACAACCTCCATGGTGCTTCATACCAGGTGCGCACACATATTGGTGGCTCTGGAATAGTTCCTGGGACTCCAAAATTACCGTTTAGTACTTTTTCACCCAAAGCAAGTGGCTCCCCATGATTAAATTTGAATACACTCTTTGAAGTGTTTTAAAATATGTATTCCCCAATTGATTACCTTCTTTATCATCTTTAAAGTATTTGAAAGTGTTGTCTGTAGTGTGCATAACATTTTCATCTTCAGCGAATGTCACCATCCTTTGAAACAAGGTTTGAAAAGGACTTAGTCCTCATTAGAACCTTTTAATTCCTTGATTACGCTAAAATGTGGATTTTTGTCACTAATTCTGTACAATTTTTAAGTTTTAAAAGTAGTGAAGTACAACCAGATACTGCATTTTTAGAATTTTAGTATGTGTAAAAATTATATAATAAAAGAGTCAAATGGTATGTAAAATGGGAATTCATTTGGTGTTAATCTTTTTTTTCCTTTATACCATCTTAGTTCAGATCCTTTTTTTGGTAAATTATAATTTATACTTTGTCAGATGTGAGTATAGTAATTTTTTTCAGTGTGCATTTTCCCCAGATTCTTTTTTTTTAAAACATTTTCTTTTATAATTTAGTTTCCTAAACATGTCAGTGTCTACTCCCAACATGTGAGAGAAAGGAAAAAGCTGGAGGTGAAACATATCCAAACTCAGCTGAGAATGAAAGATGTTGTAGGTACTACAAGTTAACTACCAAGTTAATACCAGTGTATTAACCTGTTTTGAACATGGGTTCTGACCGAATTTTCTTCTGTGGACCATAAGTTCTTTGTAAAGCTATTTAGTTTGATACTGCTCCATGATGTAGCATAAAACTTAACCCTTGGATTTACTCATAAGCCTTACGCTTGATATCATTTACTAAATGAATTTAAGTTTTCTGCAAGATCAACTAGTAGATTGAAGTATGAAAGTAAAGCTTCCTCTGTACATGTAGCGTAGTTTTCTTGTTGATTCCATTTGCTGGGTGCTCTTAAATTGTCCAATATTAACACAAGAAGAGTATACATTTAACCTTTCTGCCTTGATAATAGGGGAAATGCTAGTTCAATGTTTATTTTAACTTCCACTTTCCTTGACATGCAGAGCAGTTTACAGAATACTTATGTTCTTCCTAAAGACATTTCAAGGTGCTCTATATTAAACTCTTGAGCCAGTAATGACTCTAAAATAAATTAAGGTAAAAAATGTTACAAAAGTGATAAGTTTATAACAATGTGGAGTCATAGGAATAATCTCAACAAAACCTTTTTACTGAATCCAATTTAATTTAGTCTGTGTCTATATAAAGCTATTTTAAATAACTAAATAGAGCTTTTTCTTGGCATTGTATAGACAGAGCTTTGGTGTGATTTGCAAGAACACCCATAACCTGTTACTATATGTATATTTTTTTCCATTCTCACTGTATACATCAAAACATGAAGGGGGTAATATGCCAGATTCCACTCAGGTGTATATGAGTGCTTGCTTTAAGTTCACTTTTTCTCTATTGAAATTGGCTCTATGAACACAAACTGATCTCAGAAACGTTTTAGAAGATGTTCTTGAACCTCATTTTTGATTCTATAAAAATTAACATTAAAAGATTTGGGGTGGGGGCGTTGTGGAATGGCATTACCCAGTTGAACCACCCCTGACCCTGTCATAACTTGTCCTCTTGACCAGGCAGTGTCCTACATGGGGATTGTATTTTGCACATCATTGCTGTTCTGGCTTCGTATTTTCACTTCCATCCTCATCCCCCTTAAAATCATTCTTGATCATCCTCTCTTCTTTCAACAGCTTCAGAGGATGATTCTGAAGAAGATGGAGACCATAACAGAACATTTGATATTGCCTAACTTCATATAATGGATGATCTGTTAACAAGTGTTTATTAAAACTGGCAATTAAGTATGAGTTAATTTTGTGGGGAAATGCCTAGTAAATACAATCTATATATAAAATGAATATATATACACACATGTATGCATGTGTATATATATTCACTCTCGAGTGTTGCTGAATTAAAATTCTGCTTGCTGGACCTTTTAACATGGCCAGTGACTCTGATGTTTATAAACTGGTAATCAAAAATATTTTTCTTTTAGGTGAGTGGGAAAGTGTTACATTCTTTTAAATATCTGAACAATGCCTACAACCCTTTTTTTGTTGATTATTGTAGTCATATTTATGAAAATGGTTCGTGTTTTAGTCTTTTGCTAGTGAAAAAAAAGTGAGACAAAACTATGCTTTCAAAATAAAATGCCAAATGGCACCTAATTATTTTTCCTTTTAAAATGCCTTAAGTTGCAGTCTCATTTTCATAATCATTTGCTTCCGGTGTTTAAAAAAAAAAAGAATGGGGAGTAAGTTATGAAGAGCATTATATTAGGTGTCCAAATTTACTTTAAATTCTAAATTCAGTGATAAAATCTAATTTTAAAAAAAAGTATATAAATTTAAAATGTGTAAATGATGGATAGATTTTTGTATTGATTTGAAAAATGCCGACTATATTTGATAGGCCATAGTATGTAGGTATTCCTTTAGGAATATTACAGCTATAAATTATACCAGAATTGCCAGTCAAATGCTATTTGGTAAAAAAAAAGAAAAAAAGAAAAAAAATTGCAATCTCAAGTTAATGGAATATTTTTAAATCCCACATTCAAAGTTTAAAACACTGGTTTTCAATATGTTTTTTAGTGTTGTCACTTCTTCGTAAATAAAAACCTGTTTGGATCCTGGTCGTTTTTAACTGTTATTGTTAATCTGAGCATTTATTTGGTGGTTTACTATTTTTACTAACTTTGGAAACAGAAGAACTTTACCTATTCAGCATGAATAGATCTACACTGTGGTCATGAGTTGTGTATAGTTCCAGAACAGTATGTTTTTTTTGTCAGCACCCTTAGGATACACTTAAAAACACCTTCAGGTGGTTTTAGGTTAAATAAAGTCTTAGGCCATGGCAACGAACTTCTTTTTCAGAACCTAAGTAGAAATCATGTAATTTCTCAGATGTGAGTTGACAGTTTACCCACACTTAGTTTGTTGGTCTTAATGTAAAACCTTGGCTTGAAATAAAGTGTATACTGATTGATTTTTATTTTATAGTTGAAATGTTTCCTTTTAAACTGGTGCTCAAAGTAGACTTCAAACCGTATAGGCAAGAATTTTATTAAAGTTTCAAATTCCATTTCATAGAAAAATATAAATGTTTCTAAAATATTTGCTTAACTTTTACCTTTTAATTTTACATTCATTACCTTATTTAAAGCAAAAAATACTAAATTGAAGGATGCTGGCTTCAGTTTCTATTCTATGGGTTTTGGGGGATGCTTTGAATTGGAAACATTTATACTTTCAATAGAACTTGGTATGAAAATTAAGTGTCTTCTGCTTTAACCCACAAAATTTTTTATTTAAAAAATTAAATGGTAAAAATCCCATTTAATTCCATTGTACAATTTTATATTTTATACTTTTTTAATATTAAATGCTAAGTGACAGGAATTATCTGCTATAGTAACCAGCATGCACTAATATATCTAAACATAGTATAAAGTCAGGTTTATTCCCTGTATTATATTTATTAACTTAAGAGCAAGATGTGATTGGTGAAACTTGGTAGGTATAATTTTTTTCCAACTGTAAACTCAGATGTTTCAACTAAATGGAAGGGGAGGGAAGATAGAGCAGGTAAGACAAGTAAAGTGGGTTTTTATTTTTTTCTGCTTGGGCGTTAAGCTTTCCTTCAAGTGAAAAGTTAACAGTTGGCGGAGAGGTGTTAAAACCACTAACATCTAAGATCATTCCTTTTTCATATGAGATGAGGGATGTTACTGAAATAAGGATATATACCATAAACACTCATTGCCAATGAATCACTTTCACTGTATTCGATGTCCTAATCCGAGATTTCCAAAGTTTCAGTCAAATTGAACAGCATGTTCGTTTTCTTCTGCAACTACCAAAACACAGTCATCGTTATAAGGTGATTGGGGTGCCGTTGAAAAAACTGTGGTGAAACCAGAATGCAAATTTCTTTTGTACAGGAACCAAACGATTGCTCCCAAAGCTGCCAAAATTACTGTGCTAGCAATGACCAAAGCTGATATTAAAATGTGGTTATCTGAAATGGAAGAGACAAAAAATATGGGAAATCAGGGTACATAAATTGCTAGTATTGTATTTGGGGGGCACTAATATAGTTTCATCATGTAAATATCTGGCTATTTTGAAAATTTCACAGAAAAATTACACATTTATTGCTATCAAGATTTATGTTTTTTATCTTGAACAATTGCCATACTTAAAATTTTCCAAGTATATTTTGCAATTCTCCACTCTAAGATCCCCAAATTCCTTTTTGTCTTGAATAATTTATTCAAATAACTATTTTTGTATTCCTGAAGTATGTACAAACAACCTTACAGTTCTGGCTATTCAAAACCCAGGGGAATTCAGATGACTAAATCAAGCGGAATTACTTTAGTTAGGAGTCAGGAGGAGCACAGTGCTTGGAGGAAGGTATTTGTATTTCTTAGTAAAAGTATATGAAGAGAAATCCCGGAATTGTGTTTTCTTTACAGATACATTTTTGCATTGAGATTACTTAAATATTCTCATAGTGTTCCTTTCAGTTGGTGCTTATTAAAGTGACATTTGGAAATGTAAAGCTTAGCAAGAAAAATCTGGCCAAGAGTTATGTTAAGGTGACGGAAAGCCATTGATACTTTAAAAAATATTGACAGGATTCTTTAGAGACATTTAAGTGAAAAAATTGTAATATCTAGTATCCTAAGAACTCACCAGCCAGCATCCTACATGGGGG